AACTATCTGATGAAATATTGATGAACTTGTTTGCAAGATAAATCAATATGAAGGTAAACCTTACTATAGCAGGTTGTATATAGGTATTCGTTAAACAATCAGGTGAGCCAATACTTGTAAATTAGGTGTCAGGGAGAATAGCTCTCTGAAAAATTTAATATTTCAAAGTATAATATTATTAAACCTAATAAAGTAAAGGCAAAACTGCCGAAATTATAAAAAAAAATTGTAACTTCTAGTAAAAAGCAATATATATATTCAATTAAAGGTTATTCTAATAAGTTTTATACTGCACTATTTATATTTAATGAAATTGAAAAAGTTTTAGAAGATATTGGTGCTGTTGTATCTAATAGTGCATTAGCAATATACTTACAAAGCAATATATTTCAAAAAAATATTCTAAAATATTACCAATTAGATATATTGCACATTATATTCAATTAATTTGTAAAAACTGAATTTGGAAAAAAAGTATTAAAACAATGTCAATCTTTTGTAACATATTTTTTATGTATCTTATTAAGCTAGAGCAAATTTATGTAATAAAATAATTAACTCTATGATAAATAAAGGGAGATTAAAAAGTTTTGTTTGTTTATAATAGTCTTCTGCTTATGATTGTGTACAATTAGTTCTTAACTTAAAAATTTGTTTTAGCAGGTATTTATTTATATTAATATAAAATTAATTGTTATATTTATTTTTAGGAAAAATATATATATCACACTCGGCAATGTGTTAATTTATTACATGTGTATTTAAATTATAATTTGTAAATCTGTATAACAGCAATTTTATATACAAAAAATTAATACTAGATTAGATTAGGGTTAGGGTTAGCAGTTAGCGGTTAGAGTTAAGTATAGTATATACCAAAATTTAGCAAGGAATTTTTTTTGTTAAAGCTCAAAAGGCAGTTTTATAGATGGTATTTTGAGCTATTTCAAAATTTTAAAAAATTTCTTTATTTTTATTATACAAAATTAATTTGCCTGTTATACCTAATCTTCAAATTTAATTGGTTAATTGTTAAAAATGCGATATATAAGCATATCACAGCATGTGATGCCTAATTAAGTCCTTATTTTTAAATTTATATAATATATATATTAAATAATAAATTAAATATTTTAAGATTTTAGATAATGATGAGTTTGCTATGACACCAGAGTTATGTAATCTTCAAATGCTGAAACATTAGCAAAAGTTTTATTTCTAGCTAAAAATATAGTTAAAATAGTTGAATCAAAAGCTACACAACTGCAAATATTTTTTTATTTTTTATTCAAATGTCAATAGCTATTAATGCACTTGAAAAATGATTTATTTAAATATATTGAATTTCATAAACAATATATTTAAATTATAACAAATAATAAAAAGAATTTGATATAGAATTTTATTTATAAGGTCTTACTTTAAATATTTAAAAAAAAAAAAAAGAATTTCATTTATTAGCTTATTTCCTCTATCCAAAATATCATAGAGAAGGTATAAAAGAATCAATATTTTACAAAATTTTAAATATAGCTCTCAAAATTTGAAAACAAATTGGTGATAAAGTAATAAGTGCAAATGCATTAGTAGCACAAATTAAACTATATGATACATTTAAAAAACTATATCTTTATAATTTTATAGAAGATATTGAATTTTCAGAAACTTGATAGCTTGGCTGTAAAATTCCTAATTATTATTTACAAAAACTAGCATTGTATATATTAGCAATTACTCCACATAGTGCAAGTTGTGAGTGAATATTTTCAATTTTAAGTTAAATTATACAAAAAAAACAAAGCAAGTATTTATAATTAGTATAGGCCAGTGCAAAAATGCAGATATACCAAAGCAGTAATAAAAATTTTTTTTAAAATCAATATAAGTTTTTAAATTTTTATTTTATTATCATACTTTTCAAGTTTATTTTAATATAACATTATTAACATGTTTAATTTAAAATAAAAAATTTATTAGGAAATGATTTTCTCAATTTCAAGATCTTCAGTATCACTTTCGATCAAAGTAATATTTTCATCATAATTCCTATATTCCTGTGCTTTTTTTTTTTTTGGTATTAAGGTAATCTCTCTGGCCGGGAACTTTTTATTAAGTAGCTATAACGTTATACAATTACAACGAGAGTACATCAAGCCACACATGCACCTTTTAAGTGCCTAATTTAAGTAGTCCGCCCAAAGGTTCTACAATATCTGCCATACCTGCACCCCAACTAGGGGGTACCTATTTAAACTCTCTGGTTTTAACTGTTAGTTATTTCTACCTAACCAAGGTGTAACTTACTATTCAGTTGTAGCTTTTGTGATACCTGTAGATTTTACACCCACCTTAGGACTTACTAATTATCTAAATCTAGTCTATCCACGAGGTAAACCTAACAGAGTAGTCCATGTCCCACACATGTATTCACCTGCATGTTTGATAACTTCTTATCTAACTAGTATATGTTATACTGCCGCCACCGGGTTCATATCTCAAGCCAACTTTTGGGGTGCTGCCATAACCCAATCTGTATCTCAAATACAACCTTTTTAATTAGTCGCCTATTATGTACTTACTGCCCTTGTAAGGTTCCCAACAACCCTAGTACCCACATTTGGAACTGTCTCCTTATCTGGATTCTCTATCGGTCCCTTCCTTACTTCCAGCCGGCAACCTGGATGGGTCAGTCTGCAAAGGCTTTAGGTACCTAAAAGATGCCCTCTCCTTGGTCCATACTTTCAGAGCATATGCCCTTTTCCTCCAGTATGACAACCCGGCAGTTTGGCTAGTGTGTCCTCTGCCATTTAGGACCTGGTCATTTGGTTTTCTGATTTCGGGCCCCAGTTCGAATTCAGCCCTCCTGTAGTACCGTCAAAGATCATTGCTACATTCCAACTCAGGACTTGCCAAATGGGTTTTTGGTTATTCTTGTTCCTCAGATTTATTGCGCCAAAGCTCTCATTACTAAATGGTGTAACCAAGATTACAGATTAAAATCTAACCAATAATCGACAACCGTTAACCAAAACGCAGATCTATTTTTCAAAATCGTTATCCGTGAGATTCGAACTCTAGACCTGCCACTTGGGAGGTGACAACTCTACTACTTCACTAAGTCACCACATCTATTCCTGTGCTTTGGTAAGTGATCTTTTCCAAAGATCTGTGATAGTTTTAGATCTGACTTTTTTGTAAATGCTTTTAGCAATTTGTTTCAAATAGAAATAAAGTTTGGATGTGGAGCAGCACTAGCAATATCTTGCTTTGCGACTGCCCAAACACCTTCAATCGGCTAAAGCTCACAGTGGTATGAAGAAGTATAAAACAAATTATACTCATACTTACTAGAAATTTGAACACAGATGAATAGTATTTTTTTTTATTTCTTTTTACTAGCTTATAAAGTTCGGCTTTACTACAACTTTCTGATACAATAATATTAATTGACACCAACTATACAAGTAGTATATTTTTTCTTAAATTTGATGTTGGCACTTGTTCAACCTGACATTTATGATAACAGGTCCCATCCATATGGATATCTGCTGGTCCATAATAATTTTTAATATTTGTACAAAGTTTTTTAAAAAGATCCTCAAAAATATCTGCTATAAAATTGCCATGATAATCAATCTGATTTGCTACAATATTGGCATTACGAATTATATCTAGGATATTTTTCTATTCATCTGTGTTTAGCCTTTTTCTTCCTTTTGAAGAGGATGTTTCTTTAATTGATGGATTTCAAATTAAAAGAGAGTTGGGAACAATTTTACCTTCAATTTATTTGTATTATAATTACACATTACTATAATTGTACCAAATATAACTAACAAAGGGCCATGCTCTGGTGAACAAACGATTCCATGAAATAGTACCCATGTGCGATTTTTGTATAGTGTAAGTGACAATATGATTTGTCTAAAAAAACTTCTGATCTAGCTGGAATATAATTTTTATCTTGCAAGTTATTAAACCGCTACTTTAAATAATACCTACAAAAAGCTACAATTCTAGCTAATTCATGTAATATATTATGACGTTCACCATGACTATAAAAATACTCCAAAGCATGTAAAATTCAAAGTAACTGCTATTTTGAAAGATTATAACCTTTTTCTTCAAGCAGCTGCCACAGTACAGGTATAAAAAGGGAGTACTAGAGGTATTCGCAGGTATAACTAGACTGTGTATAATATATACAATGTCTGGATCAATTTCTTTTTTGGGACAGCCAGGCAATTTACATTCAATTAACTCTTTATTTTCACTTTTGTTCTATTTAGCAACTGCCTGTGCAACTGAGGCCTTACTAATTCCCAAAACTGTTGCAACAAGCTTGCATAGTAGCATATCTTTTTGTTGTCTCTGGCCTTGTTGACAATCTAAAAAGTATTTGTAAACGTTAATAATTATCTTATATTTATTAATACTTAGTGGGCCTCCGTCTTTTTTTAAGTTGTCTATTTTGATAATAATAAAAAAAAAAAAACTTTAAATAAAGTTTATTAATCGAGCTTACCTTTTTTGCAATTTTTATTCTGATATAGCCTAATTGGCTAATTTTCCATTATTAAATAACTTTAGATAACAATCTTTGTGTATCTAGATTTTTGCACTAGCCTATATATTTATTTATTACTATTTGCAAAATAATATATTTTAAATAAATAAATAAATTGCTGCATATTTATATAATTTCTTTATTAAATTTATATTTTAATAAAATTACTGTAGAAAAAGTATCAAATATTGCAAAACTGCATACTTATTATATAACTAATGCTCAAAATGAACTTAATTATATTAACCAAACAGTTCTTGAGACAGAATTTGATCAAGTTATGAAAAGTTATACAAATACAGTTAAATTTGATGATAATATGTTTAATAATAATATTGAAAGTGAAGAAGAGATTAATGCTAATTATGTTTCTGATATTGATAACTTAGATGATTTTTTACAATTTAGTTATGAAAATTTGGATATTGAAGAGATGTTTGATTTTAATACATTTTTAAATGAAAATACAAATGATAAACCAAATATAGAAACTAATAATTACCCAGAACCGGATAATGATGAATCTAATTATAATATTGAAGATATTATTAATGTATCTATAGCTGATAAGTAAAAAAATATAAGCTTTTTAGTTTTTACTTTGTATTATATATTTTTATAAAACATAGCCATTATATTTATATTTTTTATTTTTTTTATTTTTTTATTTATTTTTTTTTTAATATTAAGGTGACCACTTAGGCCCTTGGCACTTTATTAGTACAAGCGGTAGGCCAATG